AGTCTCCCAAAGTGCTGGTATTACAAGTGTGCACCACTGTGTTTGGCCAGTTTTCTGGGAGGCCGAGGTGGGCAGATCGCTTTGAGTTCAGGAGTTTGAGACCAGCCTGGGCAACATGGTGAAACCCCATCTCTATAAAAAATACAAAAATTAGCTGGGCATGGGGGCACATGCCTGTAGTCTCAGCTGCTTGGGAGGTTAAGGTGGGAGGATTGCTTGAGCCTGGGAAGTTGAGGCTGCAGTAAGCTGTGATTGTGCCACTGCACTCTAGCCTGGGCAACAGAGTGAAACGTTGTCTCAGAAAAAGAAAAAAAAATTATGGGTATATAGTAGGTATATATATATTTATGAAGTACATGAGATATTTTGATACAGGCATATAATACATAGTAATCACATCAGGGTAGATGAGATATCCATCACCTCAGGCCTCCCAAAGTGCTGAGATTACAGGTATGAGCCACCATGCCCAGCCTGAATGATCTTTTTAACATGTTGTTGAATTCGGTTTACTGGTATTTTGTTGAAGATTTTTGTATCAATGTTCATCAGGGATATTGGCCTGTAGTTTTCTTTTTTTGATGTATCTTTGTGTGGTTTTGGTATCAGGGTAATACTGGCCTTAAAAGATGAGTTTGTAAGTATTCCCTTTTTCATTTTTTTGGAGTAATTTTAGTAGGCTTGGTTCTTCTTTAAATGTTTGGTAAAATTCAGCAGTGAAGCCATCGGGTTCTGGGCTTTTCTTTGCTGGGAGATTTTTATTACAGCTTCATTACTTGCTATTGTTCTATTCAGGTTTTGGATTTCTTCATGGTTCAGTTTTGGTAGATTGTGTCTAGGAATTTATCCATTTTTTTCTAGGTTTTCCAATTTATTGGTGTATAGTCATAGTAGTCTCTAATGGGCCTTTGAATTTCTGCAGTGTCAGTTGTAATGCTTCCTTTTTCATCTCTGATTTTATTTATGTGGGTCTTTTTTTCTTAGTCTGTCTAAAGGCTTATCAATTTTATCTTTTCAAAATACCAGCTTTTCAATTTATTGATCTTTTGTATTGCTTTTTTCATTTCAATTTCATTTATTTCTAATTTTTTTCTTCTGCTAATTTTGTGTTTGATTCGCTCTTGCTTTTCTAGTTCTTTTTCTTATTAAAAAAATAGAAATGAATTCTTGCTATATTGCAAGAGTTTATAGAGCTTGAGTCCAGGCTAGTCTTGAACTCCTGGGCTCAAGTGATCTTCTTGCCTTGGCCTTCCAAAGTGCTGGGATTACAGACATGGACCACCATGCCTGGCCACTTTTCTAGTTTTTAAGATGCATTGTTAGGTTATTTGAAGTTTTTCTACTTTTTTGATATAGATGCTTATTGCTGTAAATTTTTGTCTTTGTAGTACTTTCGCTGTATCCCATTTGTTTTGGTATGTTGTGTTTCAAGAAATTTAGGCCAGGCATGGTGGCTTAAGACTGTAATCCTAGTACTTTGTGATGCCAAGGCGGGCAGACTACCTGAGCTCAGGAGTTAAAGACCAGCCTGTGAAACATGGTGAAACCCTGTCTCTACTAAAATACGGAAAGTTAGCCAGGCGTAGTGGTGTGCACCGGTAGTCTCAGCTACTTGGGATACCGGGGCATGAGAATTGCTTGAACCCGGGAGGTGGAGGTTGCAGTGAGCTGAGATCACACCATTGTACTCTAGCCTGAGTACAGAGTGAGATTCTGTCTCCAAAAAAAATAAAAAAAGAAATTTGAAAATTTTCTTCTTCTTTTGTTCAGTGACCTACTGGTCATTCAGGAGCACATTGTTTAATTTCCATGTGTGTGTATAGTTTCCAAAATTCCTCTTGTTATTATTTCTAATTTTATTCCATTGTCATCATAGAAGATACTTGATATGATTTCAGCTTTTTTGAATTGTTTTATTATTTATTTTTTCCTTAACCCACCTTTCAGGAAGATTTTTTTTTTAAATTCTTTAAAACATGTGTTGTGGCCTAACATATGGTCTATTCTTGAGAGTGATCCATGTGCTGAGGAGAAGAATGTGTATTCTGCAGCCATTGGATGAAATGTTCTGTAAATATCTATTAGGTCCATTTGGTTTACAGTGCAGATTAAGTCCAACATTTCTTTGTTGATTTTCTGTCTGAATGATCTATCCAATGCTGAAAGTGGGGTGTTGAAGTCTCCAGCTATTACTGTGTTGAGGCCTCTCTTTCTCTCTTTAGCTTTAATAATATTTGCTTTATTTATCTGGGTGATCCAGTGTTGGGTGCATATATATTTACAATTGTTACATCCTTTTGCTAAATTGACCCCTTTCTGATTATATAATGACCTTTGTCTCTTTTAAGTTTTTGTCTTGAAATCTATTTTGTCTGATATACATGTAGCTAATTCTGCTCTTTTTTGGTTTCCATTTGCACGGAATATCTTTTTCTCTCCCTTTGTTTTCAGTGTATATGTGTATTCACTGGTGAAGTGTGTTTCCTGTAGGCAATAGATTGTTGGGTCCTGTTTTTTAAATCCATTTAGCTCTGTCTTTTGATTGGAGAGTTTAGTGCCTTTACATTCAACGTTATTATTGATGAGTAAGGACTTCTGCCATTTTGTTATTTCTTTTCTGGTGGTTTTGTGGTCTTTTCTTCCCTCCTCCTTTTCTTCCTGTCTTCCTGTTTTGTGAAGGTGGTTTTCTTTGGTGGCATGTTTTAATTTCTTTTTATTTTTTGTGTATCTTTTGTAGGTTTTTTGGTTTGAGATTACCATGAGGCTTGCAAATAACCCATTTGTTTAAACTGATGACAGCTTAACACTGATTATTAAAACAAACTAACAAAGGGAAAAATAATAAAAATGCCCTTAATCCTAGCTACTCAAGAGGCTGAGGTGAGATGATCCCTTGAGCCCAGGTGTTCGAAGCTGCAGTAAGCTATGATTGTGCCACTGCACTTCAGCCTAGCTGACAGGATAAGACCATGTCTCTTAAGAAAAAATGAATAAATAAATAAAGGGCCAGGCACAGTGGCTCACACCTGTAATCCCAGCACTTTGGGAGGCTGAAGCACGTGGATCACTTGAGCCCAGGAGTTCAAGACCAGCCTGGGCAACATGGGGAGACCTGTCTCTACAAAAATACAAAAAAATTAGCTGGACGTGGTGGTGCACACCTGCAGTTCCAGCTGCTCAGGAGACCAAGGTAGGGAGATCGTTTGAGCCCAAGAGGTCAAGGCTGTTCTAAATCAAGATTGTGCCACTGCACTCCAGCCTGGGGTACAGAGCAAGACCCTGTCTCAAAAAAAGAAAGAAAGAAAGAAAAAAAAGCAGGGAGTGTAGTCTTGAGTTAGCAGCTCCTATCTTTGTCCCTAATTAAGTGTATTACTTTGTTTAATCTTCACAACAAACCTGTATTACAGATACAAAAATAAACATTTTATACCTAAAGAAACTGAAGTTTACAGAGTTTAAGTAACTTGCCCAAGATCACATAGCTTTGAAGTGTAAGAACACACTACACCTTGGAATCATATCAGAGGAGTCACAGAATTGAGGGGAAAGTTGAAAAATGGGCAGGAAGACATGGGATACTAAGCAGCAGGGACCCCAGGCGGAACCATATCGCAGAATTGTCTGATTTGAGCACCACACTTGGCACTTCTACCACTGCATGCCCAGCAGGCAGTGCTATTGGATCCTTGATGCCATTATGGACAATTTATTAACTATTTTTTATTTTTATGTCTTTCTTTCAAAATTCAAATGATTTTCTATTTGTCAAGTGACATGTAGTTGTCCGGCCCCATTTCTTTCTTTCTTTTTTTTTTTGAAATGGAGTCTCTCTGTCCCAGGCTGGAGTGCAGTGGCGCGATCTCAGCTCGTTACACTTCCACTTCCTGGGTTCAAGTGATTCTCCTACCTCGACTTCCCAAGTAACTGGGATTATAGGTGCCTGCCACCATGCCTGGGTAATTTTTTGTATTTTTAGTAGAGACAGGGTTTCGCCATGTTGGCCAGGCTAGTCTCGAACTCCTGACCTCAGGTGATCCACCCACGTCATCCTCCCAAAGTGCTGGAATTACAGGCATGAGCCACTGCATCCAGCCCTGTCTGGCCTCATTGCATGTGCTAGTGTTGTCCTAGGTGGAGAGGAATATCTGGCCTGTTTGGCTTCTATAGTAGAGCATTGAGCTGTGCTTCCCACCGAGACTGACACAACCAAAGGTTCAAAGAAGAGTATTTTGATGCTGGGCAACAATACAAAGGGTAAATGTCCACCGTACCAGCTATGGGTATGCAGATGCCCACATAGCATTCTGCTGAAGACTGGCTGAACTAGGAAGCTGTGCCTTCCCCTTAAAGCTGGCTGTTTTTTCCTGAGACCAGAGTCTGCCGAACAGAGCTCAGTAGGACTTCCAAGCAGTATTCCAAGTATAGGAGTTTTCACATGAGGACCTCTGCCTGTTTCTGATTCACTGAAGCCAGGGGTAAATGACCAGCAGAACCAGCCAGCTCTTACGGTCAATCTGAGGAGGGAGTGTATAGAAAATAAATGCACATGGAAAACACCTCCCTAACTTCTGGTCTTACTGATCTTCAGTGTGGTATCCTAAGACCCTGAATTTCTTTGTTATTGGTCAATATTTCACTGCAGCTTTACCTGATTAACCATATTAAACTTTTTCTTACGAGAGATACAGAATTATTTTGCTTGCATATCTTTGCTCTTCTACAATCTCTTTGCCTTAAGTTTAGAGACCATATTACTTTTGTATCTTCAGAGTCTAGTATTGTGTCTAGATACAGTAGGCACTTAAAGAATTTGATGGGCTGAATGAATGAATTTTCCTTAGCTATCTTTTTATGAAGCTAAATTGATTCTTATGAAATGGTAGTGAATTGATAGTCATGGATGTTTGAAATATTTTATATATTTTTTTAGATTAGAAAATAATTCTAAATCTGCTATGAGAAGGACCACAGTGATATTTCCTCTGCTTTTGTTGTTACAGGTTTTCCAGGATTTAGGGATGGAAGTACTCTCTGGAGTTGCCAAAGGCTATAACATATGCCTTTTTGCTTATGGACAGACAGGCTCTGGGAAGACATATACCATGCTGGGGACCCCAGTGAGTATTACAATGAGATATAGTCCTAATGCCACAGCAAGCCTGAACCTTGCATTGTCCTTACTACTGTGAGATAAGAGTATGATTTCTGTAGTCAGTCAACTTTAAAGAAGATTGAATGAGCCTTCTTCTGTTTTAAGAATGAGTTTTTCAGCTGGGCGCGTTGGCTCATGCCTGTAATCCCAGCACTTTGGGAGGCCAAGGCGGGCGAATCACCTGAGGTTGGGAGTTCGAGACCAGCCTGACCAACATGGAGAAACCCTGTCTCTATTAAAAAATACAAAAAAATTAGCTTGGCGTGGTGGCACATGCCTGTAATCCCAGCTGCTCGGGAGGCTGAGGCAGGAGAATCACGGATCACTTGAACCGGGGAGGCAGAGGTTGTGGTGAGCTGAGATCGTGCCATTGCACTCCAGCCTGGGCAACAAGAGTGAAACTCTGTCTCAAAAAAAAAAAAAAAAAAAAGTTTTTCAGCATTTAATTGGAAGGTAAACTTTGAATAATTAACCCCTTTTTATTAAACCCTGAAGAGCCTTAGAATTTTACAGCTCCCTTCAACAAAGCAGTTCTCGTCAGTCCTACTGAATTTCTTGTTATCTCCAGGTTCGTTATTTGAAGCTGTTTTGCACCTTTGTTGTGGACAAGACCTGGACTAAATCTTAAGTGCAGGCTAGAGCTGTGCAGAGATTTGATTATTGTGGCCAAGCTCCAAGCCTACATGTATTAGATCTGTGTGTTAGAAGAAAGCAGGAGAACTAGTTCCTGAGCCGGGGGCTTTCAAAAGTATATAGGATTTAATGAGAGCCTTCCTTTATCACAGAAAATCAGGAGGGCAGAGTTCCTTAAGAATACCTTTTTGTTTTGGGTTTAGAAGTATCCTGTTCGGGGTGCCAGGCACAGTGGTTCACACCTATAATCTCAACACTTTGGGGTGGCTGAGGCAGAAAGATCTCTTAAGCCCAGGAATTTGAGAACAGTCTGGGCAACATAGGGAGACCCCATCTCTATAAAAAATACAAAAATTAGCCGGGTGTAGGGCCACATGCCTGTGGTCCCAGCTACTTAGGAGGCTGAGGTGGGAGGATGGCTTCAGCCTGGGAGGTTGAGATTGCAGTGATCAGCCATGATCTTACCACTGTACTCCAGCCTGGACAACAGAGTGAGAGACCCTGTCTCGGCTGGGTGTGGTGGCTCATTCCTGTAATCCCAGCACTTTGGGAGGCTGAGGCGGGTGGATCATGAGGTCAGGAGTTCAAGGCCAGCCTGGCCAATATGGTGAAACCAAGTTTCTACTAAAAATACAAAAATTAGCTAGACGTGGTGGCACGCACCTATAATCCCAGCTATCTGGGAGGCTGAGGCATGAGAATCACTTGAACCCAGGAGGCTGAGGTTGCAGTATGCTGAGATTATACCATTGCACTCCAGCCTGGGCAATGGGGTGAGACTTCGTCTCAAAAAAATAAATAAATAAATAAAAAGAGACCCTGTCTCTAAAAGTATATATATCCTGTTAGGTGGGTAACAAAATAAACACTACACAGGAACATTCTGTAGAACATGATTCCTCTTAGATGATTATCCCTGATGCCTGGGGCCTAGCTCATTGCTCACTTTGTCCTGTGGTTAGTGTAATTTCACAGTATTTGACGTTAAAAGAATTGGGGCTGGGTACGTTGGCTCACACCTGTAATCCCAGTTCTTTGGGAGGTTGAGGCAGGTGGATCAGCTGAGCTCAGGAGTTCAAGACCAGCCTGACCAACATGGTGAAACCCCGTCTCTACTAAGAATACAAAAATTAGCCAGGTGTGATGGCAGGCGCCTGTACTCCCAGCTACTCGGGAAGCTGAGGCAGAAGAATTGCTTGAACTTGGGAGATGGAGGTTGAAGTGAGCTGAGATCGTGCCATTGCACTCCAGCCTGGGCAACAAGAGTGAAACTCTATTTCAAAAAAATAATAATTAAAAAAAAAGAAGAAATTGGCCGCTAAACCAAAAGTATAAAGCCCTTAACCGGGTACAAGTTAGCACTGGATACAAGATGAGAAAAGAAACTACCTCTTTCTAAACGTGTTTTTTTGTTGTTGTTGTTGTTTTGTTGTTGTTGTTTTGTTTTTGAGATGGGATCTCACTCTGTTACCCAGGTTGGAGTGCAGTGGTGCAATCTCAGCTCACTGCAGCCTCTGCATCCTGGGTTCAAGTGATCCTCCCACCTTAGTCTCCTGAGTAGCTGAGACTATAGGCACACGCCACCATGCCAGGCTAATTTTTTTTGTATTAGCCAGAGACAGGGTCTCTGCAGGTTGCCCAGGCTTGTGTCTAACTCCTGAGCTCAAGTGATCCACCCACCTCAGCCTCCCAAAGTGCTGGGATTACAGGGGTGAGCCACCACACCTGGTCTAAATGTGTATTTTGAATACTCATATACTCCAATCCCCAGGTGTAGGGAGTCTAGGAGGAACATTGGTAAAGTGTTTTTATCCAAGAATAATGTAACCTTCATTGCATAAAAGCAGGTGTCTGGGTGTGCTGGCTTCTCTCCTCCTCCTCCTCCTCCTCCTCCTCCTTCCTCCTCCTCCTCCTTCCTCCTCCTTCCTCCTTTTTTTTTTTAAATCAGAGTCTCACTCTGTCGCGCAGGCTGGAGTGCAGTAGCATCATCTCAGCTCACTGGTAGCTCCACCTCCTGGGTTCATGCCATTCTCCTGCCTCAGCCTCCCGAGTAGCTGGGACTACAGGTGCCCGCCACCACGCCCGGCTAATTTTTTAAATATTTTTAGTAGAGACGGGGTTTCACGTGTTAGCCAGGATGGTCTCAATCTCCTGACCTCGTGATCCGCCTGCCTCGGCCTCTCAAAGTGCTGGGATTACAGACGTGAGCCACCACGCCCGGCCTCCCCTTTTCCTTCTTATGGTGATACATATGCCTCTCATCTGGTACATTTCTTCAATGAGTGTCTCTCGGAGCACTGGAACATAAAAGTCTTCTATATTCTCCAGTGAAACTGCCTGAAGTGAAGAGGCTAGCACAAGGAGTCCAGGCACCCATCCCCCATGCTGAGGATGGTTCCTGGGTATTCAGTGGGGGAGAGCATCATCTTGAGTAAACAATAATGCTTTCCTTTCTTCTGTTCTCCAGGCCTCTGTTGGGCTGACACCACGGATATGTGAGGTATACACTATCTTTTGGCTGAATCCTCTCAAAGTAGGTCTCTGTACCATTCCTACAATGAAACCCCAACCCTCTGGTTTGTGCAGGGTCTCTTCATCAGGGAGAAAGACTGTGCCTCACTGCCTTCCTCCTGTAGGATAAAAGTAAGGTAAGAACCTACCAAGCTCTGGGACCTACAGTAGTTCTCCTTCCCCTCCAAATTCTGCCATGTTCAGCTGTCCTCTCTTTGCTTCCAGAGTCACCACAGGGATGGAGAAAAGCCACAGAAGAAATATCTTGCAGTACAAGAGCTGAGAAACATACTTAGGCCCTTGGTTGTAGAAAACTTAATTTCCTACCCATAGACTTAACAAGCAGGTCTTTCCTTCTGTGGCCCAGCTGACCCTGGCTGTCAAGTAGCCCTTGAGATGCCTTCACAGAACAATAGAGCTCAAAGCTCAAGGGTCATGTTTGAAACTCACTCAAGAAACAACCTCTGTAGCTGGGTGTGGTGAATCTGGGAGGCGGAGGTTGCAGTGAGCCGAGATTGTTCCATTGCACTCCAGCCTGTGAGATAGAGTGAGACTCTATCTCAAAAATAAAAATACAATTAAAAAAAACACTTTTGTATATGTATGGAAAGAGACTCAAGGGGGAACCTTGGCTTGATCAGTGCCTTAAAATGTCAGAGGTGGAGCTGGAACAGGAACTAAGACCTCCTGATTTTTAGCTCAGTGTTGTTTCTACTTTTTTTCAAAATGTAATTATGTTGTTGCCTTCTACTTCTCTCTAGTTTTCTAGAAATCTATAATGAACGGGTGCGGGATCTGTTGAAGCAATCTGGTCAAAAAAAGCCCTATACCCTGCGGGTCAGGGAGCATCCAGAGATGGGGCCCTATGTACAAGGTGAGCTACTGTGGTCCTGGAGATCCGAAACCAAACTGAAGCCTGGGAAGCTCTCCTAATATTCACTAATTCATTGAACATATGTGTAATGAACATTTATTGTGTGCCAACTACTGTACTAGACACTGAATATGTATTGATAAATAGAAGACATGGTCCTGCCCTCAGGCAAGCTTACAATCTAGTGGGTGTGAGTCAGGAAACAAACAATTACAAGTAGTGATAAAGGCTAATAAATAAATAGATGTCAGTGGCAAAGAACATTGGAAAGTGTTGGTGACCTACCTTTATGGGGTGATCAGGAAGAGCTTCTCTGAGGAGGAAACATTTAAGCTGAGACCTGAAAGGAGTATAGTCCTGTGAAGAATGATGTAACAAGGTGAGAAGTGTTTCAGGAAGAGGGAGTGGAATGGACTAGAGCCCTGGGAGAAGGCTTGGTGTTTTCAAGGGGCCAGTGTGGCTAAAGCATGGTGAATGAGAGGGAAAACTGTAGGGAATGTGGTGGGATCTTCAGGCGCCTGATATGGCAGAGCCTCTACTGGTTCCCTGGTAAACCAGTCCCCTTTCTCTTCCATTGGTGGTGGTAGTCAGTAGGTAGGAGAGATAGGGCGAAGTCAGACATCAGACATGGAGTAGGATTTGATGTGTTTCCTAACCAAGTACTGATGTTTGGTGCTTGGTACCATCTGTCTTACATCATTAAGGTAGATCCTGCTATTAAGTAGCAATAGTTGGGTTCTTTTATGGGCGAAGTTTTTACCCTTCCAGGCTACTTATACGAGTTAATATATGGCCCAGGTGCAATGGCTTATGCCTGTAATCCCAACACTTTGGGAGGCTGAGGTGGGTGAATTGCTGGAGGTCAGGAGTTCAAGACCAGCTTGGCCAACATGGTGAAACCTTATCTCTACTAAAAGTACAAAAGATTAGCTGGGTGTGGTGGTGCATACCTGTAATCCCAGCTACTCAGGAGGCTGAGGCAGGAGAATTGCTTAAACCCGGGAGGCAGAGGTTGCGATGAGTCGAGATTGCGCAACTGCACTCCAGCCTGTGTGACAGAGCGAGACTCCATCTCAAAACAAAACAAAGTAATATATACATTTTATGTTCCTATAGCAGTATGCTAGTTTATTTTTTATTTATTTTTTTAGCCACAAGGTCTTATTCTGTAGCCCAAGCTGGAATGCAGTGATGCAGTCATAGCTCCCTGCAACCTGAACTCCTGGGCTCAAGTGATCCTTCCGCCCCAGTCTCCCAGGTAGCTAGGGCTACAGGCATGCACCTAGGCAGCTAATTTTTAAATTTGCTGTAGAGATGGGATCTCACTGTGTTGTCCAGGCTGGTCTTGAACTCCTGGCCTCAAGTGATCCTCCCACCTCAGCTTCCTAAAGTGCTAGGATTATAGATGTGAGCCAGCGCGCCTGGCCGTAGTGTGCTAATTTAAATCCTGATAAGGAGCAGGACATGAACAATCAAGAGCCGCTGTTCTCTGGTCAGGGCATGGCAAATGGATGGTACAATAGGTATGCCAGTGACTGATTCTGCTACCTGTATCTTTTCCCAAATGTTCAATCATAAATGGCAGCTTAGAAACAACAACAAAAATACCATTTCCTTTGCTAGGAACCAGTTTAAGTTTGCTCTGTAAAACTCTGTGGGTATACATATCTGTGTAAAGCAATACTTTCAAGGCAGACCATGAGTCAATGCAGCGGTATCAAACTTCTTATCTTAAAAGTCTGTGTGGGCTGGGTACGGTGGCTAACGCCTATAATCCCAACACTTTGGGAGGCTTAGGCGGTCGGATCACGAGGTCAGGAGATTGAGACCATCCTGGCCAACATGGTGAAACCCTGTCTCTACTAAAAATACAAAAAATTAGCCGGGCATGGTGGCACATACCTGTAGTCCCAGCTACTCGGGAGGCTGAGGCAGGAGAATTGCTTGAACCTGAGAGGCGGAGGTTGCAGCGAGCCGAGATCACTCAGCTGCATGCACTCCAGCCTGACGACAGAGCAAGACTCCATCTCAAAAAAAAAAAGTGTGTATGTATGTGTGGGAGGAGTAACCAGAGGAGAACTCAGACATAGTTCAGATATCCACATTATACAGAAAACAGTGAAATCTGGAGAAAGTTAAAGGTTGTTCCAAAGTCACACAGCTAGAGTTGGGACAGAATTGAAACTGGGAAACTGTCACTGGACTGGAAGAGAGGAATGGAACAGAATCCTGAACATCAAGAGCCTGGAGGGAGGCCTAGGATCCTAGATTATTTGATTGGCATAGTGCCTGCAACCCAGAAAATATGATTCTTGCAAGGTCATACAGCTTGGGTCATATGTCCAACGTCAATGACAGGATCAGGACTCAAATCTCAGGGTTCATGGTGCAAAGTTCAGGACACTTTTGAATACCTTTATGGAGTGAACCCTTGAGGGGAGGGAGGTAAGAAATGCTAAATTCTAAACCAGTGAAAAATCTCTTAGATTCTGTGTCACAAGTTTCTTGAACCACTCTGGACATTCTTAAACCTTTACGAATACAGGTGGACATTTCTTAGTGAAGGAGCCATGAGCTGAAATAGTATAGAACCCGCCTTGGAAGCTAGGACCCTGAGTAGTCACACTGAACTATGTTATTCCCATCACCACCCTCTGATGAGAGCTGAGTAAATTTTTTTAAAAAAATGTTTTCTTTCTATATATATATCTTATCTATCTGCCTGTCCATCTGTCTTAAGGCTCATCCATTCTGTGAATATGACTTTAAAGTGGAAAGTGGTTTCTGGCTTGAAACTAATTTTACAGAAATTTATTGAGTACCTACAAGATGTCTATAGTATTCCGGGTGCCATGGGAAATATGAAAATATAAGCCCTTAAAGAACTTGCAGTTCCAGTTCAGAATTGTGAGATGGACCTTGATAGCTACCTAAATCCAAAGAAAGGAAAGGAGTAGCCTTTCCATTAGAAAGTTTATTAATTAGATGAGAGATTAAGTTGAAATCTGAAATGCACAATGGCCTGCCCAAAGCACACGTAAGAGGCCAGAGGTTATAGGATCTAAACCGATACCTAAGTGAGACAAAGAGTACTGTATTTTCACTGTGGTCTTTATTTTAATGTAAAGGTACAGGTGCAAACCAAGAGGTAGGTAGTTGGAACTTGAGAAAAATTCTGTATTTCCTATATAGTCAACCTGTAAGTCATAGGAGTTTCCCCCCAACCCCAACCATTTAGTTCTTGTGCCTTTTTTTCCTTGCCTTTCTGCATAAACTAGGACCTCTAGTACAATAGTAAATAAAAGTGGTGACAGTCTTGTTCTCAGAGGAAAGCTTCACCATTTTACCATTAAGTAATATATTTGCAATAGTGATTATTTTTAAGAGATATTCTATATGCTTCTCGAACTGTGGTGAAGGCCCAGTTTTTTTTGTGGTGGTGTTTTGTTTTTGGATCAGAGTCTCACACTGTCACCCAGGCTAGAGTGCAGTGGCACGATTGTGACTCACTGCAGCCTCAAACTCCTGGACTCAGGCAGTCCTCCTATCTCAGCCTCCAAAGTAGCTGATACTACAGACTTGTGCCATCGTGCCAACTAACTGTTTTTTATTTTTTCTTTTAGAGATGGGGTCTTGCTATGTTGCCCAGGCTAGAAGAACCATTTTTTTTTTTTTGTTTTTTGTTTTTTAATTCCAATCTTTGGCATACTAATACGTTTATAAAATAAAATAAGGATGAATTACTAGAAAAATGAATGAAAGCGATGTCTTAATTACAAGCCCCGAATCTTCTTTACTAGATTCAACAGATATAAAATTACTTCATCAAAGTTACCCTTGTATTGTTTTGATTTTGTTTTTTACTCTGTCACCCAGGCTGGAGTGCAGTGGTAGGATCTCGGCTCACTGCAACCTCCGCCTCCTAGTTCAAGCAATTCTGCTGCCTCAGCCTCCTGAGTAGCTGGGATTACAGGCACGTACCACCATGCCTGGCTAATTTTTGTATTTTTAGTAGAGATGGGGTTTTACCTTATTGGTCAGGCTGGTCTTGAACTCCTGACCTCAGGTAATATACCCACCTTGACCTCCCAAAGTGCTGGGATTACAGGCATGAGCCTCTGCACCTGGCCCCTCATTGTTTGGTTTTGTTTTGTTTTGTTTTTTTAAACAGAGTCTCCCTCTGTCACCAGGCTGGAGTGCAGTGGCGCGATCTTGGGTCACTGCAACCTCCGCCTCCTGGGTTCAAGCGATTCTCCTGCCTCAGCCTCCTGAGTAGCTGGGACTACAGATGTGCACTACCGCACCCAGCTAACTTTTGTCTTTTTAGTAGAGGTGAGGTTTCACCATGATGGCCAAGATGGTGTCTAAAAAACTCCTGACCTCGTGATCCGCCTGCCTTGGCCTCCTCTTTTTTAGTGTATTTATTTAGAGCTATAAATTTCCCTGTAAGTGTGACTTTAGCTGTGTTGCACCAGTTTTACTGTGTAGTGTTTTCATCATTAATCAGTTTAAAAAATATATAATTTCCAATATGATTTCTTTTGACCCATGGGTTTAGAAGTGAGTTTCTTTATTTTTTAACATTCAGGGATTTTCTAGTTGTATTTTTGTTATAGGTATCTAGTTTAATAGTATTGAGTTCAAAGAACATGCTCCATATAATTTCATCTAAAACAACATGTATGCAGACATGCTTTGGATATATTGCAAGTTTGATTCCAGGCCACCACAATAAAGTGAGTATCACAAAACAAAAATCAAAATTAAAACACAAATGTTTTTGTTTCCCAATGTATATGAAAGTTATATTTATGCTATATTAAGTACAAAGTAGCATTATGTATTAAAAATGTACATACCTTAATTTAAAAATACTTTATTGCTAAAAAATGCTAGTGGTTACCTGAGCCTTCAGTGAGTCATAATCTCTTTGCTGGTGCAGGATTTTTCCTTAGTGATGATGGCTGCTGACTGATCAGGATACTGATTGCTGAAGGTTT